GGCGTCGATGCCGTCCTGCATCTCAAAAGCGAAGGGGGCAAAAAAGTCCCAAGAACCCCCTTTTCCATTATATTCCTGTCTCTTCCATCCGAGAGCCGTTCCTGAGCACCAGGTGCTGGCTCTTTCATTTCCGCGTCGGAGGCCTCCTTTAGCTCTTCTGCCGGCGGGGCTGGCAGACCCTGGCCTCCCGCCCGCTTGTCTCCATCCTCCAGGGGAGCCTTAGGCCCGAAGTTGAAAAGAGGCTTCTCGGTAACCAAACCAGGAGGTAGCTGGGCCTCGGAGGCCTTCTGGAGGACTGCGGCCTGGGCTTCAGTAAACTCAATGCGCAGAGCTTTCCCAAGATTCTCAAAAGCAGCAATGTCACCAAGGTTAGACTGGGCCTCGGACACCGGATTGCCCTGCTCCAAAGCTTCGGAGAGCTTGGACGGAGCTTCAACGATCGCCTGCTTGGCATCCTCCATCTGCTTGTCAACCCCTTGCGTCTCCTCAATCAAGGCCTTAAGGTGGTCCTTAGCCTGGTTGATGGACGCCCACCCTCAAGAGGCGCGCGCGTATCTGGCGCAAGCGATTGACTGGCAAGAGTTGCCACAGTCTGGACAGAACGTAGACTACCTGAAGTCTTTCAGCTGTCACTTCCCCGTGGATACCAGTAACTGGTGTACCCAGTGTGTAACTGTAGTTACCAGTTCTACTGGTGTAGGTCAGACGAGGCCAGCAAAGACTGGTAGCTGGAAACCAGCTCTGAGGCCACCTTTTTCTGACCAAAAGTCCACCGAGACTAGCTCGATTGGAAACCAGCAAGACTGGTGGTAGGCTATCCGAAGGTGAGAAAAAGCCTCACTAGTACCTCACTGCAAGTTTCACCCGACCAGAGCGAAGCTCAGCGACACGTTCGGCCCCACCGAGGAAAAATCCTAACCTAGCTCAAGTTTTGGCTCGAACCCTGCTTTTAGAGGTGGGTGCAGCTGCCAGCGAGTGCGGTAACAGCCTTAAGATTCCTGGAACGCTTTTCTGCAAGGCCCCAGGCTCCTAAATCTCAGGCTTTTCCTTCCGCGCCATAGCAGGTGCAACCAGCCTCTGATCTGGTCTATCCAGTCAGCAGGTGTCGGTGCGTGAGCACCCGGCCTCCCACAACGGAGTTCCAGTTGGTGACCAGGGCAAACTCGCATTACAACGTGTGGGTTGCGTGCGTTTTGTATCTTCGTGAGCTTTTGCTGGCCACACAGCTCGACTGGTTTAGGGGACCTCCGTAGACCACCAGTTTGCCATAGCTGGAATCGTAAGGTCTATAAGCTTCCAGCTGGTGGGGTTGGCTTCTGAGCCGAGGCTGCAGCAAAACAAAGTGTTGCTTGCTTGGCACCTGCATTGGAGGGTTTAGCTTTGGCTTTTGGCCTGGATTTGGGCACTGGGGGGCCAGACTGGGTGACAACTAGTGCCTGCGGAGACCTACTAGAAGCAACTGCCTTAGAAAAGAAGCACCAGATAAGTTGTCCTGGTTCACCCACTGCTTGAAGCCGCACTTTGTGCACAGCCAGGCCCTTCCTTCGTTCACAATCCTGTGTGAGCCATGAGCCGGCAGAGGAAAAGAAGGGCCTTGGAACAAACAGTGATGGTTTGCTTTCTTGTCAAAAACACCTTCACTGGCTCTGTTTGTTCCACATAGAGGCCACAGGTGCTGCACTTGATGGTTAGCTGTTCCCTGGACTTGTGACCAACCACCCATGTGTGCCCAACCAAGGTTGGAGCTTGTACCAGCCAACATGGCCTCCATTTGCCTCCTTTTGTTTGGCTTGTTGTCACCAGGACCATAAACCTGGTTTTTGGTTTTGGCGTTGCTTTTCACTTGATGATCTTTGTTTGTTTCGGGCCCTTTTTTGCCTTTTGTAAAGGCTTTCCTTCCTCACTCGGGAGACGGCCAGGAAAGGTGATCTGAGGGCTTGCGAAGAGTCAGCTTGCAGTAACTCTTCTGCCCGGCGGGCCAGCAAGTGGTTGACCCTAATCACCACCTCATCTCGAATGAAGATCTTCTGCTCTCCACCTCTTGGCTCTAGCCTGCACCAACTGGTCCACCAGTTGATTTGATTTCCACCTCCATAACGAGGCTTCGCCGAACTTGCCGGCAAAATCTTGCTGGGTGAGATGGCTGTTCACCCATGTAAGGTGAAGTCTCTCTTTTGCCTCCCTTCAGGGTTGGAGCAGATCTTCAGATTTCCAGCCTTGTCTGCGCTGCACAGCCTTTGTAACACTTTTGGCATCCATGGTGACCTCGATGTGCCCCTGGACTTTGTCAACCAGGTACACAAGCGCTTGGGCCTCCGCGCGGAACACAGTTTGCTCACACTCCATAGGTCCACTTGCACTGCCTATAACCTGGATCTCATCCCCCAGGATTTTGAAGGCAATCACACCCCAGGTCATTACCTGGGGTGTCTGGGATCCTGGGATCCCCCAGGGCTGCCATCCGTTGCAAAGTGCAAGCCTTCTGCCTCGAAGTGCGGTTGCAGGAAAAAACCAGACTCCTGCAGTGCCTGTGCATAGCTTGAGGGTCGGGGCTGTTTGGCAGGAGCCCTCTTAACCACAGGCTCGTGTCTGGATATTCCTTACGAAGCCTCGGGAAGTCAGTGGGCTCTTGCTGGTTGTCTCTCCACCAGCTGCAATCCCACATAACGTGCTGCAAAGAAGCCTCCTGGTCACATCTGGCACACCAGGCTCCAGAGCCATGTCTGATAGCCCCTTGCCAGACAACCACCAGAGCCTTGTTTCTAAGGCCCTTGAGCTTCTTGCGAGCTTTCCCAGGGGCCTGCCATTGAACACCTGCCTCTAACGAGCTGCCGGCTTCACTCTGTGACAGGGCCTTCCATCTCCACCTGTCACAAGCCTGCTTCAGGTTGAAACTAAGCTTGTGCAGACTGGCCCTATCCAATATGTGAAATTCCTCTCCCCCTGCTCGCCACACGGTGAGAGAGGCTGCCGTCCATCCCAAGGCTTTCAGATAACAAATTGCAGCACCAATCGGACCAACCACAATCCTCCACGGTTCCTTGTGGTGCATGATGCGCTTATACCAGAAACGCCACGAAGCCTCAACCTCAGCGAAATGACCCTGGTTCCATTTCACCAGCAGTTGGTGAAAAAACCTGAAATGCTGGTTGATGATGACAAATGCAGGATCCTCATGTTTGGTATTGGCTTGCTCCAAGACATATTCCGTGGAACCTAGGCTCATCCTCCCAAGGACTTGCGCTTGTTGATGCCTGATCCACTTGAGCCTTTTTGGAGCAAGACCAAGGGCTACATGGCCGTAGAGGGCAACGCTCAGGACGCCCTGTTTGAAGGCCCTGATCTTAGGCCCTTTGTCAGGAGCCAAGACGTCCAGTCTCTTCTTTCTGGCCCCACCTTTTTACAGCCTGAGCCCGTGGTTGACGATCCTGCGACGTTTGCCCCAACCTGAGTCGATGCCCAAGTCTCTGTGGATATCTCGAATGGTTGGGTCACCATCCTGCAGCAGTTTGGTCAAAGCCTTTTCAACTTTTTTGTTACTGCAAATCCACGCCGTTTTGCCAATACTCAAAGGGAGCTTGGCATCTTTCAGTCTTTTACGTGCCTCCTGCCACACATGATAGGCCATTTTTGCACACTGCTTGGGGTCGCTGTGCACTAAGTCAAACCCCGTGTCATCGATGTAAAGGTCAACATGACACTGCGGTGGACCTTGCCAGATGGGCTCGACAACCTCATGCATGACCAGTTTACTCAGCCCTGGGGCTAACGGGCACCCAGCCAGGATACCCTGGGTTGCCACCAGGGGTGCGCTGACCATGTTTTCTGCACATAGGTGCCTTTTGCCACGGTACAACTGCATAGCCCCATGTAGTAACAAGGCAGGATAATGATGCTTGAAAGCACTGGCAATCAGGTCTTTGTGGGACACATTTTCGTAAAAACCCCTCAAGTCGAGGAGAAGGGTGACACCAGATTTCTGGTTTTGTCTATGCATTTCGCCCTTCATCACCCTTGTGACTGCTACCTCCAACGAGGAGTGGTTTTTAACAGCCCTGTCCCACGGCGCAGACAACTGGTATTGTCTGGCCCGCTCATCATGCATCGGGTACCTGGATTTACACCAGGCCCTATAAGCGTATGATGTCAGTGCTATCGGTCTTTCTTCAGACTCTTTTTTCGGGAGAAGCGCCACCAGCGACATTGTGGCAGCCTCTGGCATGACACCAGTTGCTTCCCAAGTACGAAAAGCTTCAGCCACCAGGGCAACCTGGTCCGGTTCTAAAGCTTTAAGCATTGGGCAAGTGAGCCCATCCGGGCCACATGCCTTTTTGGCCATTTTACGTAAAGCTTCCTCAACTTGTCTGTTTGTGAGTGGCCCAACCTGTCGGAGTTCTTCAGCAGCTTTATGCCTGAGTTCTTCAAACAAGATGTGGTCCTCCGGGCTGTTGTCAGCCTGCGGTTTCCAAACTTGCTTCCACTCTTGCCTCCGAAGGTGAGGGCGAAGCTCACTGCTGGCTTCACGATACGGCCTCGCCTGAATATTTTCAGGCTTCTTGAGGGACTTGTAAAGGCCGCGCATGCCACCCTCCACAGCTCCTTGCAGCCAGGATTGGTAGCCTTCCTGTTGACTATTTCGCCATTCTCGGGCAGCCTCCTTGGCATTGGCGATGACAGTTTGCACCAATGTCAGGTTGGTTGGGTGCCCAATGACAAAATTCTCAAGCTCTGTACGCAGGAATTCAGCCTTGGACTGGTCTTCCGGTTCCCACATATGCTGAACATGTTGCAATTGTCGAATGAACAATCGTACCTGCGAAGGCTTGAGGGGCCTTTCTTGTCTCTGCTGTATCCACAACTGGATCCTGTCCCAGTAAGCAACTTTACCTCCTTGCCACGCTTTGTCAGGCGCCGTTGGTTCCACCAACGGCTCACGCTTGACTGGAAAACACCAGCCTCTGCCTTTACCATTCATTTGGAGGTCTGCCTCGAGTCTCGCCATGACCCGCCCCCATTGCACATCCTGCTCACGCTGGCTGGGGGGCTCAAACATGGCCACAACTTCGCTAGTGTCTTGCTCACCACTGTCTCCCTGGTTCTCACCAGGGGCTTCAACAAACTTCGGGGGTTGCGGGACTGGCAAACTGGCTCCAGTCTTGTGGACTGTGAAAAGGAGAGCTGCATGTGGCTTGAAAGGCACATTCCACTCAGTGACAACGCTCACACAGCCCGCCAGCTTAGCACAAACTACTCCAAAGTCAATCGAAGAACCTTGCGAAGTGGTGGCTTCCAAAGGTGCCAGCAACCTCCCATGCACCGACTGTAAAAACCCCGAGGAGGCGAGCTCATCATGCGTGCAATTCCAGTCCCCACAACAATCCATGGGATTCGCAGTTCCTGTAAGAACAAGGCAAGGGCAGCCAGGAGGCTGGGGTTAACACCACCGCCTGGTCCAACTCCAGATTCTAGGTATAAGTTTCCAATCGCCAACTCCCAGCCATGAAAACGAATACCCGAGAACACAAAGCCTTTGCCAAGTTCACCGTGCTTGTGGAGGAAACGTGTCTGGTAATTGGAACGGGACATGCTGACCAGACCTCCAGTAGACCCACCTGGGGTCTGTTCAGCAGGGAGGACCCATGGCTCTAAAGCAACCGCCCTCAAGGAAGAGGTCATGGCATCAGTAGCCGACTCCACTTGGTGGGTCTCCTGAAGGCACGCAAAATGCCACTGGTTGCTCACCAGCCATTGTCTGATCTCAGATCTGTAACTGGTGATATTGGCTTGCAGGATGTGGCAACAGTCCTCTTTGGGCTTGACAGCTCCTTGCATTTTGATGTCTTCAATGCCGGCTAGAATTCCTATGGTGTCTTCTTCATCGACAGCCAGGCATTCAGGAATCCTGTTTGCAACCCAATATCCCAAAGATCCCGGCACCAAAAAACTTTCAAACCTTTCAATCCATGACAAGAGTGCAGCCTCTTTAGCCTTCATGCAGTATTGAGGCTGCTGCACCAGGATGTTCGAAAGTTGGCACCAGTCTTGCCTGGTTGGGGCCTTGGGTTCAGGATTCTCAGATAGGGTCACCTCCTTCTTGGGGGCTACAGGCCTTTTTGGAAACCTGCTGCGTTTGATGCTGGAAACTGCCCAGCAGGTTTGAACAGGGGCCTGCCAAGTTGTGCCCTGTCCCTGGCACCAGGTATTCCTGGTCTGCGTGGGTGCATTGAACTCCCTGGCACTGGTCATAACACCAGTAATAGATGCCGAAGCCTTGCACACCATCTCCTCAGCTTTGGCCCGGTCTCCTTCCTGGGTCACCCTAGGCTCCCCTTCCTCCCAGGGCTCAAAATCGACAGGGAAGTAGCGAGGGCCTGTGAGCGCAGCCTCACTTAGCTGCGGCCAGACCTGGGCAACACCTGAAAACCCACTTTGTAGCTCACTGCACTGCTCCTGATTAAAAACCCAGTTTTCACATGCCTTGCAGCACCAGCCCCACGGTTTCTGCCTTAGGCTGTATGCTGCACCAGCATACCTGGTCAAAATTGGTGACTGCACCAGGGGTTGGATCCTGGTAACCACCTGCTTTTCTGCCACCCAAAGGGCAGTTTGCCACTCTTGCGAGATTGTCACCTTGTTACCAGGCTCAACTTTACACAAGTCACAAACCTGATACGTTTGACCTTCCCCAGGAGTGGGCTGCTCATACTTCAAAACTGTTTGCTCCTGCTCAAAAGCCGGGAGCCTACGGCACTTCTGGTTTCCAAAACTCCTCTGTTCTGCTCTGCTGTAATCTGGGCCCTGGATGTGCACCAGGAGTCCTCGCAGACTGCACCTACGTTTACCAAAACTGTTTCCTGTGTTGACACCAGGGTGTGAAGGGCCATAACCACGCATGCTACACCAGGAATAAGCAACATCATGTTTAGGCCCCCACCCAGCATCTCAGGAGTCTTCTTGTTCACCCCTGGACAAGGGGGTGCTACGCTGGCCAGCCCTCGACGTTCTGCTGGGTCCGAAGCTGGGATTGGTGTCTTGTCCACTCTCAGCCCTGTTCATGTTAAACATGTCAGGCGGAAAGGACTCCCTCAACCATCCTTCTCCAAGGTCCAGCATTTCCTCATCGATCTTGGGCTGTGTCATTGTCTGGATGTAGGCCGACAACGCCACATGCTGGTCATCAGTAAGCGTAACGCCAGCATTCTTCAAGAGCCCTTGCAAGTCCTGCACCTTAGGCGGCTCTGCCTCTTTGAGTTGGGTCTGAACCTGGGTTTGGACCTTCACCAGGTGACTTTCAGCTTGCTCAATTTCCTTTGAGACGTCAGCCAAGTCTTGAACAGCCTTCTCGAACTGTGCTTTGATCTTGTCTGCTCGGAGCTGTAGCTGGGCTTTCTTGGCAACCAAACTGCGGTGCTGTTGGGTGATCGACTTATACCGAGCTAGATAACGATGCAGCACAGTTCTCGGATCAGGCTCTTCTTCATCCGGCGGCTCAATGCCACAGGCACGAAGGACTTGTTGGGCCTGTGGATCTGCGTCCTTCCACAGGCTGGCCACAGCTTCTTCGTACTCTCCAGGTGTAAGCTGGGCTCTGCCCCAGCCTAGCCCCGGTGGCCAAGCAGGCTGCTTCTTGGGCTTGCGCGTGGTCTGTTCCCACGCTTGCGCTTCCC